GACACGAAGGGGCAAGGAGTGAACGGAGGAGGAACAGAGGGACGAGGAGCAGAAACAGGTGGGGGAAAGGGAAAGGGAGGAGGAACAAGGGGAGCCCAAAGGAAACCAGACGGGCGATGGGCAGCGGCCGGAGGGGCCGCAGGCGAGAGGGAGGAGGGAGCAGGAGGGGACCACACAGGGGCCAAGGGAACGGGTCGAGGTAGTGACGGAGGGGACACGGAGGGAGCAGGAGGGAACACCGGTGCAGGCAGGCAGGAGGGGGAAGCCGCGGCAGGCGAAGGCGGAGCCGGGGAAGGCGCCGTCCGACGCCAAGCCGAAGCAGGGGGGCCCAGAGGCGGCCGACACAGAGCCGGAGGCGGGACCGAGGACCGGCCCCGAGGAACCAGGGGGGGACCCGGCGGAGACCGCCGACCACGAGCCGGAGGACCCACAGGCAGCCACCGAGCCACAGCCAGGGGCCGAACGGGCGAGCCAGGGGGCAGGGTGAGCTGGACCCGGGCCAGACGCCTGTGTGCCCGTCCCTTACGGGAAACTGAAAGGCGGGGTCCACGGGGGTGTCGGCCTCGCCGGGGCAAGGGTGAGGGAGTCATCAGGGAGGCCCCCGAGGGCGGATGCTCAGGCAAAGCAGGGGGCGTGGCCGTAGGCGTTGCAGCCGGAGCCGCGGGCTGGACGGGCAGGACAGAAGAGCCGGGCTGGACGGGCAGAGAGGCGGCCTCAGGCAGGGCTGCGGGCATGTGGCCAGCAGGGGGCGACTTGGCGGGCACCTCGGGCGTGCAGCCAGCAGGGGGCGCCTCGTCGGGCGCCGCCAACACGTGGCCAGCAGGGGGCACCTCGGGTGTGCGGCCAGCAGGGGGCGCCTCAGCGGGCACCACCAACACGTGACCATCAGGGTGCACCTCAGCAGGTACCTCGGGCGTAGCAGCGACGGCAGCTGCAGCAGATGGTGCCGCGGGCAGGGCGGTGGCAGCAGCAGCAGGCGGTGCCACGGGCAGTGCGGCGGCAGCTGCAGAAACTGCAGGCAGAGCGGCGGCAGCTGCAGGCGGGTCAGGCTGGACAGGCAGGTCAGGCGGGTCAGGCTGGACAGGCGGGTCAGGTTGGACAGGCGGTGCCGCTGGCAGTGCGGCGGCAGCAGCAGCCAGTGCTGCTTGCAGGTCCGGAGCAGGCAGGTCCGGAGCAGGTAATCCTGGGACTGCCCCTTTAAGGGCTTTAGGGACCCGGGGAATGCTGTCTCTCACGGCACGTATCCCTCCATGCCCCAGACGCTCCGGCCGATATTCATACGCCTCCATAGGAGGTGGCTTTTCATCGGTGCCCGGTAGAGCTGCACAGGCGGGGTCCTCCCAGGCAGGGAAAAGCGAGCACGCTCCCAGGAAGAGCGTCGGGGCGGCTTCCTCCCCTTTCCCCCTTCGCCTCTTTTTGCGCCGACCGGGACCGGTAGGTGGGGGCGGGGTTACCTCCGTGCAGGAGAGTGGCCGGAGCCGCTTCTCTCTTACCTGGTCAACCAGTTGTTGCAGAAGGGAGCGCACTTCCGCCATTATGCGCTCCTCGGTGCGTGGGGTAACCTCCTGGAGGAGATCCCAGCTTTCCTCCGTCAGGGCGAACCAGCCGGGATCCCCGCGGATCTCCGTCAGCTCGCACTAATACGCGACCTCATGCAGCAGGAGGAGCCAGGGATCATCCTCCCGCTGCGGTGCGTCTTTATGGAGACTTGTCATTCTGTCACGATCGGGAACAGGCGAACCGGCAAGCAGGGGAGAGGAGCCAGGAAGTCGGGTAAAAACGGGGATTTATTCAGGAAACAGGACTGGGGAAGCACAATGGCAAACATCAATGACAAGTCTGAGGAAGACTGACTCAGATGAGGACTAAATACACAACACAAGCTAAGGGTAACGAGCAACAGGTGAGAACAATCAGGCAGAAACAGGAGGTAATGAGGTGGGCGTGGCACACATTAGGATCGGACGGAGCTGGGCGTGACACCGCGGGTGTTTGTTACGGAGTTAAACGCGGACAGAAAACGCCGCTCACGCGACACCTGCAGCTCACTGTCGGTAATAATCGCGCTGTTACTGTAATTAACAGACAGGACAGACAAGCACTCTCTTCCCTGTTAGGCCACATCATTGCATCTACGTCACACCTGATATTTTCTCTTCTGAGACAAAGCGGGAAAAACCTTTTGGCATGCTGCACCCAGGCCTGACAAGCCTCAGGTGTGAAGTCCCCACAGCCAGCATCCATTGCCTCCAATAATGACATTTGATCATGGGGCCTGCAGTCATACACCTTCCACCTCCAAGCAGAGAATAATTCCTCGATGGGGTTGAGGAATGGTGAATAAGGCGGCAGGAACACCATCATCATTCATTGGTGGGTTTCAAACCATTCCCTCACATGGTTTGAATGGTGAAAACGTACATTGTCCCAAATCACAACAAAGCATGGCATGTTGGCCCTCACAACCCCCCTAGCATTTTCTGGAATAAGAGCATTGTAGAGCTCATCCAAAAACTGAAGAAGCCGGTCGGTGTTGCAGGGCCCAATGCTGGCTGCATTGTGAATGACTCCATTTCAGCAACAGCAGCACACACTGTGTTGTTGCCCTCACGCTGGCCTGGGACATCTACTGTGGCCCTCTGACCTATTATGTTCCTGCCACGTTGCCTTACTTTGTTTAGGTTAAATCCTGCTTCGTCTACATACTGTACACCAAAATGTGCTGGGTCTCACTGGCCTCCAACTCAAGTATCCTCTGTAAAATAGCAACACAAACATATGTAACATTCATATATACATATATACAAATAAAGAGCAAAAGAGAGCAAGAGTGATCATGAAATCTTGTCAAGGACCAATATGCATTTCCTCACCTGTACATACTGGTATCTTTGTTCTTTAACCATTTCACTGTTCCTCTCAAATGGAACCTTGTACAGCCGTTTTGTTGAGACAGCATGCTTTTTCAGCACTCTGTCAATGGTGGAGAGACTCAGAGGTAATGTTCTCAAAAATGCCATTGTCCTCCACAATATTACGTTGTATTTATTTTAGCCTAATTGCATTGTTTTCCCTCACCATATCCACATATCATATCATGTGACAGAAGTGGGCCTCTCCCATCAGAATGAGGCAGTGGTTCTATTCTGACAACACAAACGGGGACATCAATTGTTATCCAGAGGTAGCTGACTCTTTGTACTGCATACTACAGAATTGTATTTGATACACTGCATATGAAACAGAACTAATGAAAATGTTGGACCAGTTACCTGCTCTCAGTCCTGAATGTCTGTATAATAGATGCCACAGTACATCGTGCCACCTGAGGCTGCACCCGCCTGCCAGCTTCAGCAAAGCTCATGCCATGATTGATGACATTATCTACAATTGTTGCCCGTATTTCTGCAGTGACCCTCTGATATCTACCCGGTTGTCTTCCGTGAGCCCTTCTTTGTCCTCTGCGTGCTCCTCTCCCTCTTGCCATTCGAGCCTCATGGCCTCTCGCATCTTCCTGCTCCATTTTCAGCACTATGCACTGAGTGGAACCTGAGCATCTATATATCTGCTTGTGTGAATGCAATTTAGAGGCATGACATGCACCTGTGATATAAGATTGTGAACATGTGTTTCTCTTTGTTTCAGTTGATTCTTATCTGAGAACATGTAATTCTACTTATTTTCAATTGAAGACCAATTTTATTGTTACCACTAACAGTGTGTGATTGACCTTACTCTTTACTACATAACTGAAACAAGTTTAAAATGATTCGATTGATGGCACTAATGCATTGCGCAACAGTATCAAAACGAGTGAGAGACCTGCAACTCTCAGTGATGAATGCATGAACTGTTTTGATGAATTGTCAAAGTCAGATGAGAAATGCTAATTTATGTGGGAGACTGTGTTACTGTTCTGAGAACTGCATTAAGAGTGGTGAGAATGGTGGTTCTGATAAGAAAATTGCATGAAAGCGACTGAGAAAAACTGTGAAGTACAGGACCCCATGAATCTCCCAAGGCATCCCTCCAATGCCCCTGCATAGGAGAGAACTCTGAAAACTTAACTGTTTAGCTTTCAGTAGACAATAATTCAGGTTCAACAGTGATGTTGAATTCTCAAATCTGATTGGTCAGAAGGGTGCTGAATGACTTTCTCACACATAGTGCCAGGTAGGTAGTAGTAAACCAATGAGCTATTATAAACAATGGACAATTTCTAACTTCTGGCTTATAGTCTTACCAACAGACAATTTTCTAATTAACAATGGTAAGATGTTTTTGTGCTTTTGTATGTTTTGTGCCTGGAGAGCATTTCTTTTTCTAGAACACCAATCAAATGCCAGTACATTGTTCTTAGCCATGAATGCCAAAGTCATGCTATTGTAATTAAATTGAATTTTGTGTATTTATGTGAAATGAGTTGCTGGAGATCCAGTCATACAGTGTTTCTCAACCCAATCCTCTGGGATCCCAAGTCCACATTTTTGTTCCTTCCCAGCTCCCAACCCACCTGTACCAGGTATTCAGTATCCTTGATTGTTTGGTTCAGATGTGCTGGCAGTTGAGGGATAACAAAAATGTGGACTTTCTGGGGGTTCCTGAGGAATGAGTTGAAAAACACTGCACTAAATTGACTAGTAATGACTAGTAAAGACAAGAAACTCTTGTTGGTAGACTTGGTAGCTATTCATAGTGTGTTAATACTATGGTAGGCAGCATGAATTTAGGCTTCAGATAAACTGAATGTCTGATTCAACAATCAATATAAGCATTTAGTTTTAACTTAATTTTGTGTTGTTGCATCACCTTTTCCAGGGTTGACTGGCTACCCTGCAGAAACTGAGAAGAGGAAAGCAGAATTTGGGCAGAACCATATACCACCAAAACAGTCAAAATCCTTTCTTCAATTAGTGTGGGAAGCATTGCAAGATGTGACTCTCATTATTCTGGAAGTGGCAGCCATCATTTCCTTAGGCCTTTCTTTTTATAGACCTCCAGATGCAGAGAAAGACTGTAAGCACATTCATGCTCATCATTGTCTAGTGGAGTCTCTCTCATGAAGCTGTATATGAAATGTCAGTGTTTTAGCCTGATAATTTGTTCTGGAAATCAGGTACTTGCTGATATTTGTATGGTGATTTAAGTCCAAAACTAAACATTTTAAGTGTCTAAATGATATGGAGAGCTACATGGAGAGAAGTCATAGATAATAGGAGAAGGATTTGATGAAAGATTAGAGCAAAGTGAGGAGAGAATTTTCTCTTGTATCTTTCATATCTGCTTTGCAGTGCATGCTTTTTAGACCAGATGCATACTAGTGGACATATGTAGGCATGTGTTTGTGTTGGTAAAAATTGTTTTTGCCTGTTATAGACTGTAGCAAAGGGGCTGGAAGTGTGGATGAAGAGGACAAGGCAGAAGCAGGCTGGATTGAGGGAGTGGCCATCCTGCTATCCGTCATCTGTGTGGTGCTGGTGACAGCCTTTAATGATTGGAGCAAGGAAAAGCAGTTCCGGGGCCTACAAAACCGCATCGTACAGGAGCAAAAGTTTTCTGTCGTACGAAGGGGTCAAGTTATCCAGATACCTGTAGCAGAGTTGGTTGTTGGGGACATCGCACAAATCAAATATGGTAAAATGCTTTCTTTGGAGGCCATGTGGTATTTTTGAGGCAATGCATTATATTGTAGATGATCTTGTTAACAATAACACAAATGTGGGAAATAGTTTGTTTAGTTATAGATATGCTCTATATGAGGTATGAGTTTCGGTAATTTTTTATTCATATGTCACTGCATATAACTGCATTTTGCATTGTTCTGCCTTTTATATAACTGTACTTTTTCATAAAAGGCAAAGAAATACGTATTCTGTGATTTTTTTAGTTAATTTATGACTTTTCCTAATCTGTGTGTCTGTGGCAGGTGACCTCTTACCCACAGATGGCATCCTTGTTCAAGGCAATGATCTTAAACTTGACGAGAGTGCCCTCACAGGGGAGTCTGACCTTGTAAAAAAAACACTGGATAAGGACCCCATGCTGTTGGCAGGTATAAAACCATGTAACTAATGACCAGTAGGTCCTTTATTTATGCTGAAACTGGTCAAGAATTCTTTTGTTGATAATGTGCCCTGTGATGGACTGGCATCCTATTTGAGGTGTCCCCAGGATTATGCCCTGCACTTTCTAGAGTAGACTCTAGGCTCACGGCAATCCTACACTGGACCAGCAGTTCTGGGAAAATGGATGGATGGATGGATGAAATCCATCATGGTTCTTGTAAACCTTATTGTGCTTTTAGCCTGCATTATTCCCCTTCCCCAATTAAGTAACAGACCATTCTGCTGTTTTAGATCCTGTAATCTTTACATTTTTTCTTGTCCTTCAGCTGTTCCAATGTTATGGAGCCCTGTAGGGGATGGGGTTGGAAAATCTATGCTTTTAAAACAGCTTTTCGTTCCCTCACAAAACCCCTGTGTTCCCTTGCAAATGCTTTTGCATTTCCTTGCAAGACATTTGCATTTCCTTGCAAGACATTTGCAATCCCTGTGAACTGTTTTTGTGATCACTTGCAAAACATTTGCATTCCCTGTGAGTTGTTTTTGTGTTCACTTGCAAAATCTTTGTGTTCCCTCTCAACTGTTTCTCCATAAAATATTCATAGCATGACAAACATTTATCATTTAATTCTCATTATTTTCACTCCAGGTACCCATGTCATGGAGGGCTCTGGTAAGATGTTGATCACCGCTGTTGGTATAAACTCCCAGACAGGAATTATCTTCACTTTGCTGGGTACTGGAGAGGATGAGGATAATAACAAAAGAGCAAAGAAGGAGCAAAAGAGGAAGAAAAAAGAGGAGAAAAGGAAAGAAAACGGGAAAAAGGAGAAAGAAAGTACGTGCCAACCGTAGACTCATCCAATCATCTTCTAAACTGCTAATCCTGATCAGGGTTGTCGGTGAACTCCATATTTAAAATGGGTATAGGGGAGCTAATTTATATGCTGGTCATGACCATGACCAAGGCCCTAAATTTCAACTGTACGTATGAATATGACCATCAGTGTGGACCGTAGATGACAGCATTCGTGATATATGGATTTATCTGTGGGAAGTCTGGACTATAGATAAAGTGGGATTTTATCTGATACTTTCACATCTTTATCCCATTTTCCCTCTCAGACAAAGAATTGGATGAATCTGCTGAAAACCACAAAAAAGGTGAGTGACAGGTACCACTACATCGTTTCTAGAAACTGTATTGACAGGTAGAGCAGTGCTCATTCTACCCTCACTCTTTCATGCTCGTTTTATACTTCCTATCTTGTGCCTTTACTACTTTTATACTTACCATCTTGAACATGTGCTGGTTTAAATTTCGGAAACACAAATCCTCATTCTGACCACTTGTCCCTGTCAGACCTGCTGAGTGGCAAGGAACTCTTAAATCCTACTCTGGTAATTAGTGACCATGGGATTAAAGGTCTTTAAGAGGCCTGAAGCAGAACCATGACTTTTTTCCTGTCTGATTTTAAAAAAATTCAGGTCTGCATCCGTGGGCATAATTTTTAAGATAATGTCTTCAATGAGATAAAAAAAATCCTGGGAAACAGACATTTTAACAGTGTTCCTGGAAAACAAGAGTAAAAACTACAGTATTTGTTATTACTTTTCATCTGCATTTTGAGTCATGGATGCTAGTTACATTCTACTTTTGTTTCAATGAATGCAAAACTTGAAAAACAGTCTGAAATTGTATGTACGTGTGGGCAGTCTGGGCCTATTTCTCAGTGAGGATTGTGGCCATGTTGGATTGATGCTTTTTTTCTCCCACCACAGATAAAGCTCTAGATGGTGTAATGATAGAGATGCAGACCCTCAATGCCCAAGAAGTAGGTGATGGTGAGGTCAAAAAGAAAGTTAGTATGTCAAAAAAAGAGAAGTCTGTTCTTCAGGGGAAGCTCACTAAATTGGCAGTTGAAATCGGCAAAGCAGGTGAGACTAACAGAGAGATACACTAAAGGGGCTATATGTTTTGATACTTGCATGGATGTGGCTAATTTTGTGTGTGTGTGTTTCCAGGCTTGGTCATGTCTGCCATGACAGTCATTATCCTGGTGGTCCTCTTTGTGGTTGAGACTTTTTGGGTCCAAGACCGATCCTGGGTCAAGGATTGCACTCCCATTTACATCCAGTTCTTCGTCAAGTTCTTCATCATTGGCGTCACTGTGTTGGTTGTAGCTGTGCCTGAAGGCCTTCCATTGGCTGTCACCATCTCTCTGGCCTACTCTGTCAAAGTAGGGGCCATCTCTCACTGCTTCTGTCTGTTTCTCTGCTCCTTGTTCAGTTGCTACTGTATGCTTTAGAACAAACACTCATATTTGTTCTAAAGACTCTGGAAAGCTGTATATTTATTTCACACATTTCCTCACATTACATACCTAGTATATGTTATTTGTGTGTTATATACCGTACAGTGCAATAGTCTTAGGCAGTGAAAAGAAATGTTTACAGCAATTTTTCTGGGTAGTAAGTGCACTTTTGCTCAAAGCACTAATTTAGTTTTAGAACTTGTAAAAATTAAGAGTAACACTACAAAAACTAGTAAGAATCTCTTCTGTTTTCAAAACAGTTACTGATATCTAGTTGGATGGCTAGATGTAGACTGCTTCAGCTCCCAAATCTCTCTTCAGGGGCAACTCAACCATTCCACACATTTATTAAATTTCACCACTACCCCATTTATTAGATAGATAGATAGATAGATAGATAGATAGATAGATAGATAGATAGATAGATAGATAGATAGATAGATAGATAGACAGACACAGATGGATGGATAGATAGATAGAGACGATATTGTGTTTTATTACACAAGCATTGCAGATGTAGAGCGTGCATCTATGGATGCAGTGCAATGGTCAGTACTTTGAAGAAGCTGTATAGGTCAAAGTGACTATGTGTATGGATAATAATAACTACTACCATACATTATATATATAGTGGTACCTCAGCTCACAAACTTAATTACTGTAATTCGAGGACTTTGCGACCTAAATCAATTTTTAAAATAATGTAAATACAAATAATTCGTTCAAACACTGAATTTTTTTCTATTTTTTAAATGTTTTTCTGTGATCAAGAATATAGACTTAAATTAAAATAACCTTAATTATACACAAATGCTAAATTAAATAAAACAGTACAACTGAGCATACTTGTCACGCTGGCCAGCGGGCGAGCAGGGAAGCAGGCAAGCGGAGCCGTAACGACGGACATACGGGGTTTATTTAGGTGACAGGACTAGCAGACAAGGAACAGCACTTGACAATACAATGACGGATCTGGGGAAGACAGACTGAGACTCGGACTAAATACAAAAGACTATCCAGAAATAACAGGACACAGGTGATCACAATCGGGGATGAACACGAGGTAACGAAGTGGGCGTGGCACACATCAGGATCGGACGGAGCGGGGCGTGACAATACTCTTGTTGGTGGGCTGGTAGCTCGAAAGACACCAAAACACAGAAAAGAACCACCAAATATCTCCCCCAAAAAACAATTAACAAGTAACAATCAAAAACAATACTGTAATTTCGAAAATGTAATTTTTTTATTATACTGTACATTTTTTTCATATGCCTAAAATTTTGGGGTTGTTTGTGTGTTTGCAGCCTGAAACACTGTTTGTGAACCGGTACAAACATCTGGTTTGTAACCCGATTTGTTTGTGAACAGGATGGTTCGTGGGTCGAGGTACCACTGTATATGATAAATAATAATATAAAAAGTATAATATATAAACCAGATACTTTACCATAAAACTCTGCTATCCGCTGAAACACTTTGACAGGCAAAATAGCAGTTTTACACAAACATGAAGATCATTTAAACATCATTTTCTTTACCTAAGAATTTTGCACAGTACTGTATGTTATGACATCCTTTATTGCATACAACCTTACTTACTTAAAACATATAATACATAGCAAATAAAAATTTAAGGCTTTTACCTTGTGCCAGGGATTTTGAGGTTTCCAGTAACCTTTAAAGTCAAGCTGTATAAGTGCTTAAGTGTATCTTAAATGTCGACCTGCAATATCAACCAAGATGGACACTTCAGACCAGTGCTGATGGCATGATTTTTGATGCACCTCGACTGATACCCACGTTAATTAATATATCATGCATCTCTACCATGCACTTCTTAGGTACTATATTTTGGGTGTTGTGTTTCTTTCAGTATTTGGCATTTTCAGTTGGCTTTTTCAGATACAGTATCACTAATTCTTCTCCTAAGATATGAATTGCCCAGTGTGTTTATGAGTCTGGTTCCTTAACAGCTACAACATCTGCATTCACCTCACTATGACATATGTACAAGGTTATTAATGGCCCAGACTAAATAAATAAATAAATGACCGGCTGTGGGGTTGTAATGTTTTTTTTGTCTTTTTTTAGAAAATGATGAAGGATAACAACCTGGTGAGACACCTTGATGCCTGTGAAACCATGGGCAATGCAACAGCTATTTGCTCTGACAAAACGGGAACTTTGACCTTGAACAGGATGACTGTTGTTCAGGTTTACATTGCAGACACATACTATAGGCGTGTCCCTAACCCTAAACACATCCCAAGGAACATCATGGACCTTCTCATTCAGGGCATTGCGGTCAACTGTGCATATACTACCAAAATTCTGGTGAGTTTTTTTTTAGATCCTATGTTTGTGTTTCAGTATGTGCGATTATTGAGCTGTATATACTGTACTCTTAGTGATTTTGGATTTTATGCCTGACGAGGCTAAATGTTGAGAGGTCAACTGCGTAGACAGGAAGAGAGCTGACTAGGCTAAGGTGAGTCTTTGTGACTACAGTGTCCAGACAAAGAGGGAGGACTGCCACAGCAAGTGGGGAACAAGACTGAGTGTGCCTTGCTGGGCTTTGCCCTAGCTCTGCAGAAGGACTATGAAGCAATCCGTTACGAGATCCCTGAGGAGAAGTTCTATAAAGTATATACCTTCAACTCCATTAGAAAATCAATGAGCACTGTTTTGAAGAACGCCGATGGAAGTTTCCGCATGTTCAGCAAAGGAGCCTCTGAGATCCTCCTCAAGAAGTATGTGGAATTTCTACATTTGTTGTGCAAAGTACTTATTATATAGCACAAAATTTACTGAAGGTGATATTTTCCTGAGTTCTGAACCTTTTCCTTGTTGAGGAAAGCAGGTCCAAGTTATACTTTTATATATATATATATTTTCTTGTACAGAACTTTTAATGAATGGTGGTTTTGTTACAGATGCAATAAAATCTTGTTGTCAAATGGCGAGTGCAGAGAGTTCCCACAGAGGGCTCGCAATGACCTTGTGAAGATGGTAATTGAGCCTATGGCATCAGAGGGCTTGAGAACCATCTGCCTGGCCTACAGGGACTTTCCCCTGACTGATGGAGAGCCTGAGTGGGACAATGAGGCGGATATCCTCAGATGCCTCACTTGCTTGTGTGTGGTAGGCATTGAGGACCCAGTCAGGCCAGAGGTTGGTACCACCATCTTTCTTTTCTGTTGTTATATACTGAAAAATTGCTACATATTTATTCAGAATATATGCTTGATAAGTGTTCTCTTGTTAATGACTGTAATAGAGTGTACTGTATTTATCTGCTTTTATTTTTTAAATTACAGCACATATCTCCACAACAAATTTAGAGGTAAATGAAAGGCTAAATGGCTTTTCCACTGCATCAGGTACCATACTTTCAGTACAGTACTTTCAGTACTTTCCTCTTTCCAGTGACTACTGGTCAAGTTCCAGTAGCAAAAGTTCCAGGACCCAAAGTACCAAAGCTGGGATACTTTTTTGGTACTTCAGTACCTTAGGATACGTAGAACTTGCAAATGTGTTCATTGTAGATTGGTTATGCAAATAGCCTGCCTCTGAAACACAATGCAAATGCCATCTTGTAAAAGTTACGAACTCAGAAAACAACGATACACAAAGTAAAAAAAAAAGTTAGAATAATGTATGCATGGACAAATCAAGAGACCCAAGCTCAGGCCTGGAGTGGCCAATTGTACAAACATTCTTTTGAGGTCTTATCAACTCCTTGCCCAGTTGTAGCAACTGCAAAAAAAAAAAACAATTCTGGTTACTTGTACTATTGTTCAATATCTTGGACGTCTCCCCTTATGATGTATTTTTCATATTGGGACAAAGGAAAGCTTCAGAGATAACTGTCTTCAAAAACTTGGCAAGGAATTGATAAGACCTCAAATCCAAAGTGCTATTTCGTGAAAATGGTATGGTAAAAGTTGACCAGTTATCTTTTGGAAATAGCTAAGAACCCTCCCTTTCAGAAAGTATAAGACTTATTTATATCTTATGGGAAAATTCTGAGAAAGACTTGTCAAACTTGGCTAATATACATGCAAACACGTATATTAGCATAGATTTCAAAGTGCATTTTTAAAAAGATGGTACAGTAAATGTTGATCAGTTTTTGAAAAAAAATGTAAAATATCCTTGCACCTTACCTTTCAGAAGGTTTACACTAGTGCTGGGCGGTATACCGACTGATACTTCTATTATTGAATTTTTCATATACTGCAATTGTCACACTACACGGCGCACGGAGCGTTGACAGAAGCGCAGGAAGCCAGTAGTCGGGGCGAACACGGAGTTTAATAGGAACAGCAAAGATAGGGACAGGCAAAACAAGGGATAACATTACATGCAACAATGCAATGACCGGACTGGGCAAACAAACGGAAACGCGGACTAAATACAATGAACTAATGACAACAATCAGGAGCAGCTGGTAAACACGGGGAATTCACACAGGGTAAACGAGGGGGCGTGGCACACAGGAGGAGCGGATGATCGGGTCATGACAGAACCCCCCCCCCCCAAAGGGTGCACTCCGGGCACGCCCCAGGGGAGGCGACGGACGAGACGAGACTGGGGACACGGGACCTGGAGAGACAAAAAAGAACAACAACCTCAACGGGGCACAGGGAACAGTATGGACACACAGAACTGGCACAAGGTGGACAACTCAAACAATAAGCCACAAACCACGGGGAACGCAGACAAACACAAAGACACCAACAACGGAAACATGGGACCCAGGGACACTAAAGGGGACAATGGAGGGACCACACAAGGGGGCACACAGGGACGAACAGGGGGCGTGGGCACAAATGGACGGGAAGGACACATAGAGGACACCGAGGGACGAGGGGGACCCACAGGGGGCACAAAGGGACCAGAAGGGAGTAAAGGCACGGAGGGACACGGAAGAGACACAGGAGGCACAAAGGGACCAACCAAAGACGAAGGCACTGAGGGACGAAGGGGAAACATGGAGGGCCCGAAGGGACCAGAGGGGAGCAATGGCACGGAGGGACGAGGAGCAAACATGGAGGGCACAAAGGAAGGGAACGACGGTGACACAGGACGGGGAGTGAACACAGGGGCCAAGGGATCCAAGGGCAGGGGGCAACAGGGAGCAGAGGGGACCTTCAGTGGGCGTGACGTAGGGCAGGTTGGGGCAACAAGCCTCTGTGGGGCCAGAACAGGGACTGAGGGTGGCAAGGATGCGGGCAAAGGGGTTGGTGGAGATGGCAAGGAGGGAGCCAAGGGGAAAGCCGCGGGCGAGGGGCCCGCTGGCTGTCGAGGGGACGCCGGCGTTCGGGCTGTGGCCGGCTGACCAGGTGCCCTGGGTGAGGCTGGGGCCAACTGCCGAGATGGAACCTGGGTTTGTGAAGGGGCACCAGGGAGTCTACCCCGCCGTCGGTGTCCCCTCCCTTTCCGGGAGACCGAGAAACGGGAACCCGGCCGTGAACCACCTCGATGAGGTACAGGTGGTTGGAGTGACCCCCTGGGGGGGTCCACAGGCACAGTCAGGGTGATCCTCGAGGGGTCCCACTCCAGCTCCTCCTCCAACTCCATTGTGGAGGAAGGTGCGGGGGTTACGTTGTCAGGGACCACCTCGGGGACTGAGACTGAGGCCGAGGAAGCAGGGACTGGGGAGGCTGAGGCCAAGGGAGCCGGGACCGGGGAGACTGAGGCCGAGGGAGCTGGGACCGGGGGGAATGAGGCCACACATGGGGCGGCGAGTTGGCCGCCTGGGAGTCTGGACCCTCGTGGGTCGACACGTCGGCCTCCGGGGCCGGGGAGTCTGGACCCTCGTGGGTCGGTGCGTCGGCCTCCGGGGCCAGGGAGTCTGAAGCCGACGGGCGTGGTGCGGGCGGAGCCAGGGCCGGGACGTTGGACACAGGCGGAGCCAGGACCAGCTCCTCAGAAGGGGGCGCCAGAGCAGGAGCCACGGGACCTGGAGCCGCAGGGGACACTGCAGGGGCCATGGGGGACACTACAGAGGCCGCTGGAGCCGCGGGGGACACTGGAGGGGCCACTGGAGACACTGCAGGGGCTGCTGGGGACACTGCAGGGGCCGCTGGGAGCTGAGCGGGGAGCTCAGGGGGCTTGCGAGAGGTTCCGTGACTTTCTGATTGGGAAACACTTCCAGCTGGAAACAGATCACAAGCCTCTCTTGAGTCTCCTGGGGTCTCAAGCGCTGGATGCTCTACCTCCTCGGATCCAACGCTTCAGAATGTGTCTGATGCGCTATTCATACTCTATATCTCATGTGGCAGGGAAGTGTCTGTGGACAGCAGATACGCTGTCACGAGTGCCAGTCAAGAGGGAGGAAACACCGGCTGACAAAGAGCTGTTAGAGGACACTAACATCTACATAGACACAGTAATGGAGAACCTACCTGCAAGCACTGCTTATCTGGAGGAGTTGAGAGACCAGCTGCAGAGGGACAGTGTGTGCGTACGTGTGATGCAGTTGTGTGCAGAAGGCTGGCCAACACACGGCATCCATGAACCTGCACTCAAGTCTTACTGGAGTGAACGAGCTTTTCTCACAGTCCAGGATGGTCTTCTGTTGAAGGGGCAAAGACTGGTTATACCATCAGTAATGAGAAATGATGTTCTTGCCAAGCTGCACGAAGGTCATCAGGGCGTGGTCAAGTGTAGACAGCGGGCACGACAGTTGGTATGGTGGCCAGGGCTGAGCCAGCAGCTGAACGAACTGGTTCTCGACTGCCGAGCATGCTGCCAGGAGAGACAGAACCACAGGGAGCCGCTGCTGCCAACACCATACCCGGGGCGACCATGGCAGAAATGTAGGGTGGATTTGTTCATGTTAGGGAGCAAGACCTACCTGCTAGTGGTGAATTACGCATCAAGGTATGTGGAGGTCTCACTGCTGACTCCCACAAGGGCTAATGACGTGATTGATCACCTGAAGTCCATTTTTGCATGTAATGGGATCTGCGAGACCCTAGTCACAGATAATGGGCCACAGTTCTCAGGTTTAGCCTTTGCCAAGTTTGCAGTCTTATGGGTTCCACCATGTGACTAGTAGCCCAAATTACCCCCAGGGAAATGCTGAAGCTGAACATGCAGTACAGACGGTGAAGGGGCTCTTGAAGAAGTCAGAGGATCCCTACCTCGCTCTGCTTGCATACAGGGCTACCCCACTACAAAATGGGTACAGTCCAACTCATGGGGAGGAGGCTTCGTACCACTGTGCCTATATTCCCTGCACTACTAATTCCTGCTCTTCCTGATGGAGCCGCGGTAATGCTGAAGGAAAGTGAGAGGAAGAAGAAGGATGCGCAATGCTACAATCTGCGACATCGTGCACAGAATCTCGGCAGACTGGCTCTCGGGCAGGATGTGTGGGTCACAGACCAAAGAGCAGCTGGAGCTGTCATTGGAAGCTACACTACAATCCGCTCATACCTGGTGGAGGGTCCCCACGGGATCATCAGGCGAAACCGTCACTATCTCATTGCTATGCAGCCCTCGCCAGAGCAGAGCAGTGGTGGAGCAGTTGAGCATATCCTGGGAGGCGTTCCAGAACGACCTTCAACAGAACATCCTGCAGCAGCAGTGCCGCAGCAGAACGTTTTAGAACCACCATCTACTCCTACTCTCAGAACCAGGTCGGGGAGAGCTGTAGTAAGACCGACCCGGTTAGACTTATAGTTTTGTTTACAGTTTAAATGCCTGAGAGGCATTTAAAAAAAACAAACATATGTTCAATATTGTGAATGAGCCATTTCATGTTTTGCATTGTTTGAATGTAAACATTTAAGCATTAGTCTCTGGGGTGAGGACAGACAGCACAGGGTTGGTATTGTATTTGTAATTTATTGTTCCAAGTTAAGGATAAAATGCTGTGTGTCTGTTAGAACATAAGAACATTAGAACTATACAAACGAGAGGAGGCCATTCGGCCCATCGAGCTCGCTTGGGGAGAACTTAACTAATAGCTCAGAGTT